ATTTTAAACTGACTTATTTATATTAGATCGACATGGAAAAGCTGAATTAAGAAAGACATACTATTGGCAGAGGACATAATAAGGGGAAAAAAAAAATGGTTGTACAATTATGTCACATATAGAATATATTAATTTGCCACTCAACACATAATATTTATAATAATAATACATATAATTATTATCATTATTTTTGTGTACTTAAACAATTTGTATCCCTGTTATCTTTTTCATAATTATTTTTTCAAACATTTCATACTGTATCAATTATATCATTCAATTTATTTGCCACTCAGCAATAAAAAGGTGTAAATCTTGTTTAGGAGCGCAGTGATACCGATCATAAAATGCACACACACACACACACACACACACACACACACACACACACACATACATACATACACACATACATACACACATACATACACAAACATACATAACATACATACATACATACATACATACATACATACATTACATACATACATACATACATACATACATACATACATACATACATACATACATACATACATACATACATACATACACATACATACATACATACATACATACATACATACATACATACATTACATACATACATACATACATACATACATACATACATACATACATACATACAATACATACATACATACATACATACATACATACATACATACATACATACATACATACATACATACATACATACATACATACATACATACATACATACATACATACATACATACATACATACATACATACATACATACATACATACATACATACATACATACATACATACATACATACATAACATACATACATACATACATACATACATACATACATACATACATACATACACACACACACACACACACACACACACAAACACACACACACACACACACCACACACACACATACATACATACATACATACATACATACATACATACATACATACATACATACATACATACATACATACATACATACATACATACATACATACATACATACATACATACATACATACATACATACATACATACATACATACATACTGATAATAAAAATAAGTAGTACCACTGTAAAAATACTCCTGTCTAGATAGAGAGAGGGAAGATGGAGAGGAAAGAAATTTTAAAGCAAGCACAGACAAGCTTAGGTCCCTAAAAAGGGCCACTTAGGGCAGCGGTTCTCAACCTGTGCTGCGACCCTTAAGGGGGTTAAACGACCCTTTTACAGGAGGTCAAAGACCATCGGAAAACACATATTCATTGAAGTTATGAAGTAGCAACGAAAATAACTGTATGACTGAGAGGTAGCCATAACATGATGAACTGTATTAAAGGGTTGCAGCTTTAGGAAGGTTGATAACCACTGACTTAGGGACTATACATATAGCACGTGCTTTTAAATATAGGACATAGAAAGTGAAAAGAATATTTTTTCATGATTATTTTTAGAACCATATTTACATGTCCTTATATTGTATATACCCAGTTAAAGTTTTGATACTAAGAAGTACTTAACATAATTTTGACCTAAAAGCTCAAAAGAGGGAAAGAAAATGACGGGCACAAATGTAGCCAATCATTTCGACAAGTCTCTTTGTCAACGGACAAGACAACACTATTCTCAACAACAAGAAATTTCACTTATATACGGAAAAAAAAAAAATAGGGGTAAAGTGGGAACATAGAAAAACATCAAAACGTATTGTTGTGTTTGTGCTCGTCTTTTCCGCTCTAAGAGCCACTTTTCAGATGCCACGCCAACAAGAACAAACACAAGATGTACAACTAAATTAGGTGTAACAAATCTGAACGGTGTGGGTGTGTAAAAGAACGTTCAATAAACTTTCTTTAACTTTGTGCTCGAAATTATATTCTAGATGGAGAGATGGCCTGTGAGATGTTTCAATTTTTTTGAAATCATCTTTGATTACCTTAAAATAAAAAACTGTTTTTAAATTTTCAATGCTCTCTACCCTTATGTTTTTATTTGTTTTCACACTATTTAGCAACGATCCGTGTGTGTGTGTGTGTGTGTGTGTGTGTGTGTGTGTGTGTGTGTATATATATATATATATATAATATATATTTATATATATATTTATATATATATAAACCAGAGGTGAAAAGCTCGTATTAAGGAGTATTGGTCTTAGGGGGTAGCTTATCCACATATATCGTGACAAATGGCAAACCTGGTGGCATAGGAACAAGAGAATGACAGAGAGATTATTGTCTGCAAGGCGTAGCAATATAATAGGCTGGGCAAACAAAAACATGATCCAAGATTATTGTAAAGGTTACACTGAAACTACTAGTGGCCCATGACGATGATGTACGGCTGACATAACAATTGGAGTTTTCTCGCCTTTTGTGTGAAAGGGAAAAAAAATTATCAAGACATTCTCAGACAGGAAAGGAACAATTATACAGTAAAATATTATACAGTTGTCAGGTTGTCACTGTTTTCTTCTCAGCGTTCATCGGCTGTAAACTTCAGCGGAAAGTGTTCATCCACATCTGGACCAGAACTTAGGTTTTGCGTGCAAATCCGTATTACAGATCTACCCTATATGTGAGCAGATCGTTTTTACCTCACCTCTCAGGCAAATGTACCCCGACTTTGAAGGACAAGTTTTATCCTATATATGTTGGCCATATTATTAGAAAATTCAACTTTGCGGAAGTCGAAAGAAATTAAAACTAATAGTAAACTTAAAATATTTAACTCTAATGTCAGATCAACACTATTGTATCAAGTCGAAACATGGAAAACTGAAACGTTTACTCATAAACTACAAACATGCAATAATCGGTACCTGCCCAGAACAGATGAAATTAAATAGTATGATAGAATCATCAGTATGTGGCTGTTGAGAAGTATTGAACAAATTCTAGTGAATCAAGAGGTGACAGAAATACGTTTCGACACTGGGTGAGAACACCTAAAAACAGTATAACAATAATCATCATCACAACAGCTCAGAACATGATTCCTAAAAAAAAAAAAACGGCACGAGAAACAGATTTACATTACAGAAATAACTTTCAAGCTGATAGAAGAAAGAAGAAACTTAAAACAAGTAGGGACAGAAACAAATAGCCTTGCATAGAGGAATTACACAGAAGAAATAAAAAGAGCTATCAGATGAAAGAATAATAAAAAAAAAAAAAAAAAAAACCAGTTTTTTTTTATAAATACATGTAATAGAATTGAACAACTCTAGATGCAAGGACGAGATATGGACATGTTGAAATAAATGAAAACATTGAAAGGCGAATTCAGGCCTTCTTTTCATGTAATAGGCGATAAAAACGGTAACACGTTAACGAAAACCAAAGACATATTAGAAAGGTGGAAAGAATACTGTAGATAAATGTATCAGATCTGACAAGTAATTCGAAAACAACTTATGAAAGTTTTGAAAAAGAACCAGAGCCTTTGCTGGAAGAGGTACAGTCAGCAATATACAGCCTGAAGAAAAGAAAGTCACCAGGTTGCGACCAAAAACCAGCAGAACTAATTCAA